AATACTACAAAAGAATATATGAATTTACTTGTGTTGGTCGAGCATCCCTTAAGAACGACCGCAAGTCTCCGCCTTCCATTAGCTCTAAGATTATCCGAAGTCGGGGAGGGTCCCATTGTATCCAATGGAGTCGTACTATATTTGGATGATTGAATTTACTGCAAATAAAATCTATTATCTGCTTTAAGACCACATCATAACGGTACAACCACTTGATTTAGGACTTACTGCATGAAAAGTGCTTCGAATGCAAACTCTCGTTGTGCCTCAGCCGATGTGCTCTTGTTCATGCAGATTGTCTTCACAGCAAAAGCCTTCCCATCTTTCGTGTGTCCCTCATGAACTGTGCCAAATGCTCCTGTTCCAATCTCTCTGGAAAATAATTGGGTTAAAAGCTTGTACACAATGATTTTTAATTTTTTTGCGCCACATTTTAAGCTATTCGCATTTTAATTGAGCCGTCGAATCGCTATTGTGACAGCAGACCAATTCTGAGTTTAGCTACTTAATTTGCATTACATACCATCGAAAGATGTGAAGATGAACACATATACCGGAACCATTCTATTTGGATGACTCTAGATCGCAAAATTTCAGATTTTCACTGATAAGGGAAGAACACTTAGTGACTGTGGCCTTAAAAAATAAAAAGCCACGCCACTAAATGCCTCTGAAACCTGATTTTAAATCTGTTTTGCACGTTGAACGACTTTCTAAAGGCGCTCATGAAGATTTCCTTGCGCCAGAATAGCGGCATAATGTCCATTGATTACTCTAGAACTTAAAAATCATCCAAAGGACAAAGTAAAAGCCCATTCTTGGTGTTAAGAAATTAGTAATCAGAAAATTAGAAAAGTTAGAAATTTAAAAATTTAATTTAATTATTCTTAAGCTTTAAATCGTTTTTTAGACGGATTTTGATTATAGAAGCGATATAACGCTTAGTGCAGGCCATTTTCTTGCAAACCTTTTTCACTCCGTTGAGCGTTTGCAAAGATACTAATGGTACGCCTCCTGTAAAGGACACGATCACTTAGCAGCCTCCCCCATAAGATTCGTTCACGAATTAAGCGTTCTGATTCAAAAATCATATTTGTTCCGCATGGTCGTTCATATGTAATTAATGTACATAGTCATCATTATTATGTATATAGCCAGTCTTCAAAATCACCAGTTGTCTCAAAAATTGCTCTACTCTATACAGGGTGGCGAAAAATTACGTGCGCATAACATTTGACTGCGTTTTAAACATTATATAAAGCATTTATAAACACTTTTTCATGGTGCCCTTAGAACAAAAACATCCCAATTTTATCTTTCAACAAGACTGAGCTTCAGCCCATGGAGCCAAAACAACTATCCTCTTCCTGACAACCAAAATCGTCTCTTTTTTAAAGCATAGTTTGTTGCATGCGAACGGCCCAGATCTGAATCCATTAGACTTTTCTGTCTGAGGCTTTATGGAAGAGCAACTGAGGAGTTGAAAATAGGAACAATCTAGACGTAGACTACCTGCGCCGCACCATCGATTCCATGAAGAAACGAATTAGCTCCTGTATCAAAGCTGATGGCGGCCACTTCGAAAATTCTTTGTGATTATAAAAAGTTGTGGCTTGTCGTTTGTTTTTTGGCAAAATATAAAATTTGAACGCTTTTTATAGCGCGCGTAATTTTTCGCCACCCTGTAGTTAGCATGCTGACACATCATAATTTTCAAAGGGAAGCAGGACTGTTCAATATCGTCTTCTCTTCGCTATATTACATCTTACTGTATAGTTACAATAGGGTAGTGGCAGGATAAGTTCCCCGTTTCACCTTAATCTCGTTCAGAAATGTAATCTTTGTTTTGCGATAACCATGTAACTTACGCTAGTGCAAGCGCGCTAATTTTTAGTAAAGTGCATTGATAAGCTCACTAAATTACCTTTAACGCAACTTATGGTACTAACCAATGCGATATGGAAACAAATTTCTTGGTCGACTACTCAAATGATACTTTGAGTAAATCGAAGACTTAGAGAGTTCTGGCCGTGATGAAATGCCCATTTATCCAATCAGAACTACCACTTAATAAATTCATTCTAAAGTTAATTATTTTCTGAGCACTTCTGCCATAGCGAATTGAATTAAACTACTCTTAAAAAACAACTCGTACTCAAAAGACTTCTGCAATAGCTAGATATGGAATTAATAAATCACCTGCCGATGGAAATCTCATTCCACGGAAGGCAAGGTAGAGACGCAATCTGGTCCCAGTACGATTCTCCGACGTCCACGTCCTTATAATCGGACTGCTAAAATCAAGTTATAGGTTCTGAACAAATGCGATTTTGAGGATATAGGGACTTACCATCACTACCAGTTTGATCTGGTCAGCTGCAGTAGGGGCCTTTGTAAATGATCTGCGAAGCACTAGAAAAGGGTATGACCTCGTGAATTCCCAGTATTTCAGTTGGATTCTAACAAAATCAAACTCACATCTTATGATAACAGCAAGAAACATGATGACGCAGAGAAAAAGTATGATTCCAGCTAATTTGTGCTGTAGCAATATAGAAGTCACTAAAAGTATGATGACACATCTTTAGCTAAGTGATTGTTATAAATGATTCCCTTTGAATAAGCGGCAACAAAAGAGAGGCGTTCCAATAATGACTCTCGCTCTGTGTGACTTGATTATTTGGCATTTAAATTGAAGTTTATCATTTAGTTTTTTTATACCCCGTGTACACTGCCTGTACCGCCATAATTTAAATTGCAGCGATGGGCGAGATTCAATACATGTCGTTGCGATAGACATGCCCGATTAGTTATTGGTTTACTGTATAATTAAAGTTGGGATGCCATATAGAATTTGAGAAGATTCCTCACAAAACTTTCATGGAAAACAAGTAATCGTGGCACCCTTTGACATGCATAACCACCAGCACTGCAGATATGCGGTAATTACTATCAATGGTGTTACCGTATTCCTGCAGAGATTAGAACCAACTAACGTAATTACCACTTTAACGATCATAATTATCAAATCATGCAACGCGCCTTCATTTTTAAATTAAGACTGGGTGAGTATAATATTTGTAACCCGCCCGCTAAAGTTTATTATAAACATTTCCAGTCTTTTTCCATCACTGCACCATAGGGTCTTGCTGCAGAAGCACAGTAGATATGTAAGAGGGAGTTAGGATCGCACAAATGATCTAAGGTGTTGTGTTTTCAAACTCATAAGCATAAGTTGCATATTTTAAGAATTGCAACTCTATAAAGGGTTTTGCTTGTAATGGGTAATTCGAATTTTACCCAAATTCCGTGACTATAAATAAGATGTAATTATGCAATATTTACATTAGTGTGACGTATAAAATTAGCGATGCGTGTACGTGATTAGGTAAACATTCAACGTATTTGTGATGCCTCCAGTGTACGTCTGCCCATCTCTGCTATGCGAAACTTTCGTGAGCAAATCTAATATACATGATCAGTGCCAATTAATCCCAAAAGGCTTTTCAAGTCGATAATTTAAGCCTTACTGTCCGTTAGTCCAACCGGGATCCTACCGAGTGAGATATGATTTTCATAATCAGCATCTCGAAAACCCTAGTAAATAAATTCTAAGGTGATTCTGTGATTTGATTCGCTACCAGACCTCAAATGAGCAAAGTTCAAAAAAATTCAAATTCTTGAGATTTTAAAGTTGTATAACGTGTTTTTTTATCCAATATATGAATTTTTCTTACCTAATGATTCTGCACAGCTTCCATCAGGTGAAACGACATCTCCAAACTCACAAAGACATTCCATCTGCTCTGCAGACTCCAAATTTGGGAAGAAACATTTGGACCTCGTTGGACAGATTAGACGACATGCATCTGAATTAACTTGCCTTCATTCTCTTCGTCTTAGAAAAAGCAAGATTCTGTAATGGCAGCGCTACACTTTTCTTGAAATTTCAAAGACATGGAGAAAATATGATACGTTACAACGTTACAACGCAATAACGAACATGAGATTAGATTTTGCCAAAATTTTCTGCTTCGGAAGCAAATGGCCAAAAATGGATCAAAGTTAATCTTCTTTGACACCTCGGGTTATGGATCCATATGCAGATATGGTGCAAGAGCAAATAAAAGTAATTTGAGAAGGATATACAGGAGTTTAACTTTAACTAGGGTCTATTTCTCAACATCAAATTAGGAAAATTTATGTTGAGCGAAAAGAAACTTGACAAGCAACAGCTGTGTATAGGAGTAGCTTGGAAATCTACGCTGAGCCGTGCATCTGAGTGGAATAGATTAAAATCAAGGAGTTACAAAAGTTTCATTAAGCAGAAAGAGCTCAAAACTCTCGCCTCAATAATGTTCAAGTACCAACGGTAAGCAAAAGTTCCAGTTTCACTGAGACATAGATACATATCCTGGAACCTGCATATATCAGATCTAGTTCTAACGCAAACTTGATCATTACATATGATATCCTGAAATATCGGTCGAAGGAGAACTTTGCGAATCAGTACTGTCAATAAAAGGCTTTGGAAAAGATTACTCGAGAGAACGGGTAAGGAGGATGGATCGATTATGAGAAGGATTAGGGACTTTTAACGCGAACAAAAGAGTATCTTGAGCGGTAGGGAAAGAGTATATACAGGTTACAACTTACAAATTATTACAGAACCATCGCCTGCATGAGTACCAGATTGTAGGAGATAGGATGAAGAGTTGAGTCCTAGCCAATTTGTGCCTCCTATACCATGATTACGAATTTGAGCAGCACCACCTCAAAATTATAATTTTGGAGGGAAACTGGCAGGAGATTAGGTGATTATGTTGTTAATCTTTTTGATTTTCAAAAAATTCGATAATATTCCACAATGGTTACAAACTGCACTTTCTGCTATCCTATCTTTGTGATACCAAAATCATGAATTTCCTCTCCAATTATTCATGGCAGAACAAAGAATCTCTTTTACCGTAATACCCTCCTCCGCCACCAGCAGCTGGGTCGCAAGGCGCAGCGATGCCGCCCACATTCGGGAAACCTCCACAAGACCACAAATGTCGTGACGGCGACGAAACCTACAACAAATATGAAAGGAAACTTTAATTTGCATTTTCTTTGAAGTAGAATTTTTTCTCAAAAGGATTAGGGAAGAGAAATGAAAATGTTCATCTGGATTGAGCGGCTGTATACATTACTATATTTCTGGAGCCCTATGGTATGTTTTTCTTCAGAAAATGCAGAAATAACTACATACTGAAAAGTTTTTGCTTATTTTTGAAGATGACAGAGTTCAAAGCCCTCATTTAACTAAAGATAATGCCATCTACTAGCAACCGTTCTACATATTCAATATTCTATTAAATGAATTTACCGAAATTCCGTTCCCAGCATTGACAGTGACATATTCGTCTATGGGTAGTTCAGAAGAGAAGAAACCTCCAGCAGGGCTGAAAAATTAGTAGAAAGCGCATTGTCAAAATTGTCACAGTTTTGACTTCACTGAGGTATTTAGTAGTTTACTTAATACTCACTTATTAGGTGGGCCGTCGATATACCTTTTTGGATAAGCTCCACCACCTCCAGCAGCCACTATAATGTAGGCCGAATCGAGAGATACGGTAGTTGGGCCACCTCCACCAGCGCCGTAAATTAGCGAGGACTGCAAATTATGGATTGAGTTTTGAACTTCCACTAGATCCGTCTTGTCTTAATCCGTCTTGCGATTTTTGGGATAAAAGCAACTGCTTGCAAGAATGTCACAACAGTTAGCGACTGTACAT